GGTCTGCCCTGCAATTCTGTAAAATCTAGACCCAAACTCGAATTCACTCATGTGTCTCAATTCACGTCATTTAGTGTAGAAATTCTATTCATTACACTTTTGTTATAAAAATACAAAACAAAATTGATTGAATATACGTGTTTTAGATATTCAATTCCTATGTCATTTCGAAACTCACTTCACTTATGCCACAAAAAGTTTTTACTCGGCTATTACCAATTCAAGGTTAAGCGGATGCCGCTTTTTGAAGTGAATTCGGATTTGGATTTTTACAGAATCGCAGGGCTGAAATAATAATTATTATTTCTTATTTTTTTAACTAAGAGTTAATTTTTGCGGGATGACTTAATTTAAAGGAGAAGTTTGGTCGGCTGTTGTTCTTTGCTAAAAGTATTTAACCTTATACTTTTAGCAAAGAACAACACAATAATATTATTATGACTTTTATTACATTTAATGAATTTATTTGATGAATTAATACGAGTAATACGATGGTAACTTTTATTGTTAAAATGTGTAGATGTTAATAATGTTACATCCTGTTATTGAGTATGGCTAGATAGGTCAAAAGATCTCATATTATAACCAATGTTATACGCTTACCCTATTAGAAAATAAAGAATTATTATATTACGGTGACGGTGCAGTGCAGCAATTATTTAAAAAAATTACATATTATATTCGATACGAATTTGATTCGCAATTTTCATGTTAAGGGCACTCTTCGTATAAACTCATACTGCGTTTTACTATAGATCGGGAGCGAGCAAATGTCAAATGCAGTCGTATTTATAGTTTGCGGCCGAGCGCGGTTCGACCGCATGCCGGTCGGTGCGCGTGCGCTGACTCACCCGGTCAGACGTCTGCCGGGGTACCCGCTCTCACGCTGCCGAATTACTCACGCCATATATTTGATACTCACCGATTTAAATAACCGGAGTTTAATAATAGAACATTTTTGTAACATGAAATACATGTTAGAAGCTAAAAAAAACTGCCACGGTATTAAACTTAGAACATTGATCCTTATTTAAAGATAGCTTCTCTAAATTCCAATCATTCTATAGTTCAGGCACTTTGATTAAAACATTAAGACCGTTTATATTCTACCCAGAAGTGTTTCTCAATATTTTCTCTCTAAATTTTCATGGGATCCACGATCTGTTATTGTTTTTTAGTAGTTGTAGTCTGGTAGAAAAAGCGTGGTCGAGCTTATAGGTATAGTAATAAATAAAAGAATGTAGACAAATACTAATAATAGTAAAATAATATGAAATTAAAATATATCTACCATATTTGATTATTTTTTAATGTTCTTTAGTATATATATCTAATATTTATTTAGTTAATCAATCACTTATTCATAAATGTAATGGAATGTCTTAATATCAGTTTTAGTGAATGAATACTTATTTTAAAAATTCATCTCAGATACTCACAACCACGGGACTTTTGAATTTTAGTTTACTTTTAGTAATACGTGATGAATGTAAAATTTAATGAATTCTTTGTTGCATGGATTGCTGGATTGGAAATTAATAAAAAAAAGTCTGACAAGGCCTTAAAATGCAAATCAACTGTTGAATATGTCCAATTACTGGTAGCGGTAGCGTGTCGGCCAGGGGTCGTGTCTGATCGTTTCGGCCGATGCTCTTAATTAACATTTAAACTTTTGCTATCGTGTACGTACAGTCAACAACGTCTTGATTTAATCCACGCCGAAGTCCCGTTGTTAGCCCTCATTACTGTTTACCGCTAATATTCCAGTTTTTGATCCAGAAAGCCCAAATTTCAACACCCAAAAGCCGTTAATACAGTAGTGGGCACACTTGCACCAGATAAATCTGTTAGTTTCAATAGAAATCTAAAGTACCGACACCAAAATTAAATTTTCTATATCGCAAAAACGTCTAACTCAAGCAATTCCAAGTATACAATCTCAATCATTCTTAAATAATACACTAATTGGTTTAAGGTTTAATTTGTCAACACAATGAGTTATTCCATCTTAGATTTCGCCACAAATGGTTACAGATTTATCGGTTTTAGCACGTCGTTCGTCAAAACACCGGGTAACGTTTAGTGGATTACCTTGAACTGGTCACTATCTGCAGTGAAAGTGCTCGTTAGTGTAATTGGTGCGTTCGACTCGAGGCGCGTGTTCATTTTGCATGTTTTGATAAGACGACAACTTTTCTGATTCTGCAATACCTACGTCGCTGTGAAGTGCACTTCGTCATTATACCAATAATTCAAAATTTTCTGTCAATATTTAAAGAGAGAGCGCGCACATACAGTAGCATGTGTTAATCTTAAAAATAAAGCGCCAATTTTTATCAACTTATCTAAATTACACTATTTCATAGCTGGTAATGTAGAGAAATAAAAAGGAAAGTGTTACATACCTCAATAGATAACCGTGAAATTGAAATTAACATACATTGATTGTTTTGCATTCGTTGAATTGATGTTCATGAAGCGCACAATGCCCATGACCCGGTATCACAATTTCAATCACACAAAACCGTCTATCACGTTAAAGCATCCACAGTGAATCGTAAAGCAGAAGTCGAACAATAAATTTGATAATATGACATGTTTACCGACTGCCATGTACACCTATATTTTATGCTCTCAGATAGCCGCAGAACTCAATAAAACGACTGATGAGATGCGACATAAAGATATCATTTCACGATCTATTCACTGCTTTATGATCAACCATATACCTTTGGTCCGTAAGAAAATTGAATACCTGTATTTATTTAGAAATTCTTAGATAGGTGATGTACTTTTTGGGTTTAATGGCAAAATCAATTCAGATAGAAGTTATTTTCATAATCGAAAGTAGCATTAGCTATTAAGTGAAAATCTAATAGCATCTGAAATAATATTTGTAAAAGGTAACCGAGGAATGGATGGACCAGACCTGCCTTATGTTGCATTACACAATCACGGTAAAAAGGAAAAAATACGAGTACATTAAAAAATATCATCGAGATCATAAGGCGTTCTTGTTTAAGTCTGGAAGAATATAATAATGCACAAGCATATTTTAATAAAAAATGTTAAAATATTTTTCTTTTTTTACATTTTTATATATTATTTATAGACAAAAATAGGATACATTGACACACATCATTAGAAAACACAGCAATGCTGTCTTCAGAATTGAAAACGTAAGAGCTGAATATGGATGGATATTATTACAAGCACCGCGACATTACAAAATAATAGCCAAACAGAAGGGTGCTTGCTAAGCATTAAGACACAATTATGATTTAAAATGCTTATTCGAATAATAAATCGAATTGCAGTAGTTACTCTGGACTTCTTTTGGTATTTTATGATAATATATCAAGAACATAATCGGAGCTGTTAAACGACTGTGACCATAATAACACTTTACGATTCTACTGTCTGTAAAGTGTTCGTTTAACTACTGTGCTTATCCAATTCCATTGCAGCAATAGATTTGACACTCCATTCCGCCGCCTACTCCACTAACTTGTACGGTACAATTATGAAACGAGTCTGCACGTTCTAAAGTAGCGTTTCATTATTCGTTTTAATTAACTTTATCAATAAATATGCAGTATCTGTAGAAGTGGTATTAAAATGCAGTAAACTAATAAATAGTTCACTAACACAAGATATTTGCAATACGCCCGAAGCGTTTCTAGTTGTCATTGTAAACTCGTTGCGATATCATACAAATTAATTTACGTATTTGTATATATATATATATATTAACAAAGCAAGAGAAATAATTCTATTTACTATTTTAATAAAAGGACACTTACCTTTATTAAACTGAATCAATTTTTTTCCACCACGCATTGAGTGTCTTTGGCTTATAAGGATGATTAGTTTAAGAAACCTGCCAGCATAAAGTTATTCAAGTTATGATATCTTCATTAATGTTGCTGATATCTATAGACATAATAGATTAAGATAAATATAATTCTAAAGTCAAACATATGTAGTACATTTGAGCTAAGAGTTTTTGTACTCAGTTTATTAGAGTTATTGTTTAAGACAATAACAACTTGAGTTGTAAAAATATTTTTGGATAAAGATCAATATGCATCCCGTTCGAGTGCTTTAATTGTACCATAAAATTCTCTTATTTGAAGGACTAATATAGCCGCTAAGCTACCTAATGTTTTATATTTTGAAAAGAACTTTAATAATAATGACTTGTTTTGTAACATATCTACCTATTGCTGTAGCGGAAACTGTCGTAAATAAACTTAAAGTCCTTTTCTTGCTTTCCCTCTAATTGTGGCTTGTAGTCATAAATTCATTCTGGAATACAACTTTTGTAACACCTATTGCCGATTAGTTGCTAATTGCTGCTTTCTCTGTGTTAACTGTTGCCTACTTGTATTGGTTTAATTGAGTTCGACAAATCGATAATAATTTATGAAGAATCGTCATATTGTAGCTTTCTAATATAAATTTTTATTTTCTTCATCCGTCCGAGGCTTTCTCTAAGAAGTCAATTTAAACCATATGGGCCAAGTACATATGATATCATAAAGTTTATTGCAAATTTCGAAATACCAATAATATATTAGACCTTATTATATATTACTTTATTTTCCTCAAATATTTCACCATACCTAGTGATAAAACTATCTGATCTGATCATGATGCGCAATTAAAGGTTCTAGTCAATGTCGAGATTGTACTGGAATTTTTTTTGGTTATCCTACAGTCGATAGTAGTAGGCATGTACACGAATACATTACAATTTTTACATTTTTCCATTTAACGGATGATTTTTCTTTCAATATGAACCGGATACCACTTCTATGGTTAGAACCTTATTTTAGACAGGTCACACTTCAAGATAACTAGTCAGAATGATTGGACTGCCATTCTTTAATTTACCATTTATTAAAGAAAACGTTTTGTAATTTCATTTTTATTAAACAGTCATAATTACGTTACCTATTAGTATACAAAAAATATTAACACATTTTCTATTGTTCCAGCGGTTGTTGTGCGATACTTGACTAAGCGATATATTGGCGAATACAGTTCTACAGGCGGTAAGTGTTCTTCTAAATCTTCTTAAACCGGAACTCATTTTGCCATCTCAAGAATGTTTTTGATATGTAAAAATGCACTTGAGGACAGCCTCTGAGGAGGCACTCGTGAAGTGCCAAGTGGCTTGCCAATGGTTTATTTGTGATATTGGCAACATACACGGTAGAAGAGCCAAGGCTGACGTACGCCGCGCGCCGGCGCCGGCGTAGGGCCGTCGACCTGTTTTAAGTAGTTTCTATAAACCCATTTTATTTATTTTAAAAGCCTTACAGGAAATTGTTATTTACTAGAAATTATCTCGTGATCTTTTCGCATACGTTTCTGTATCTTAAATGTTTGCGAAATCATTTGGCACCAAACCGTCCCTAGATGTTTTAATTAAAACTTTACGCTTGCATACATACGTGATGATGCCAAAAGTATCATATCTAATTTTCATTCATATTCTGTTGATGTAAATAGAACGTTAGATATAGCTTTACCCGTTGGAATTATTATAAATTAATCAAGTTATTCCACACTATCATAATATGTAATGTTATAAATTTTAGCTGACTTATCCTTCTCTAAAATACCTCATTTAACAGGCATCATAACCATATAAATGATGTAATTTCATTTGATTATGATTTAAAGGTTATAAATAAATGACTAAATATATTTTCGAAACAAATCTTTAAAAATAGTCTTATATTTAAAATTTTGTGGCAGGAAGATTTGGAACTCTTGAAATAGTGGTATTGAAAATTCATAACATTGTATGAGATAACTGCTCATTAATATTCGAAGTAACCTAGAACCGTGTGAGTGACATAGAAGTTCTGAAAGCCAATATGGGGCGAGGCCGCTACCCAGACGTCGAAGGTTCAAGACTCAATTAAAAAGATATGAACGTTATAAGCATTGCTCTTGTTTCAGATTTCCTGTATCAACATCGGGTGGCTTTTGATGGAGCCACGTCTGAGGTCGAGGTTTTGGATACATGTGGGTGTGCCGTAAGTGTATTTTTAACATAATAATATTTGGTTATTAATCATTATTAATAACTCCTGTCAAGGGGTTAAGGTGTTTCGTTAGATGATTAGCAAAGGTTATTAAACTTTAACATCAATTTGATTTCGCAAATGATATAAAGTAATATGACAATAATAAAAAGAGACAGTGATTTTTTTTTAATTTGATATTTCATATGCGGTCAATCCGCCTGATGGCTCGTTTCATTGGTCGATTAATCTATGACCGAAAAATGGAAACAAGACACTAAAATCTCCGTACTTTGCATTTGGACCCAACGAAAAATCTAAATAAGCCATAAAGATATAGTGAGTACAAAGAGTATAGTAGCTTTTGTTCGATCTAGAAACGAGGCTGCTTAGCGGAACACCTTCGTTGGGGTGATGCTTTTGCTGTGGTATACTCGGTATGCGACAGGCGTTCCTTCCTCGCCGCTGCTGAGATACTGGCATTACTTGAACACACTCGTCTTCCTGGTTGTACAGCTGTCACACTGCTCGGGAACAAGAGGGACTTAGAACATGCCAGGTAAACATTTCTAGAAATCCATGATTTATTTGGTAGAGTTCTTCTAGGCCAAAATTAATCTTGTCTTATCTTTTTCTGAGTTGTCTGTTAAAAGTAAGCTGTTTCTTTTGTTTCCACAAGTCTACTACCCATTTAAATAGAGATTGTTGCTTTCAAAAGGATAACCAATAAAATACTTCGATACAATGATTTGTGATTGAGGTTATGAAAAAAATGCTTTATTTTTTAAATAGAGTCGTCAAAGCAGAAGAGGGTCAGGAGCTATCATTGAGGTTTGGGTGCCAGTTCTACGAGGTGTCGGCGGCGGAGTCGTGCGCTGGCGCCGCGCTCGCTTTCCACGCGCTACTGCGGGAAGCACGAGCACTCGCACTGCTGCTGCCCGCGCCGAGACGCAAGCTGGCTGCTTACTCTGTTTCCAAGGTAAGAATAAAAAAAAGAGAAAATGGTAAAACAGCATTTTAATAAGTTTTATTGAAATAAAAACTCTATGATCTATTCACAGGTTATTGGCTCAATCCTCGGCTTGAGCAACAAAAGCGTAAGAAAGAAACGACCCTCTTTGAGCATATGATTCACCAGCGTATTTTCTACTGGGTTTCGTTACTCCGTGGCAGGAGCTTGTTTATTTCTGTGAAACAGAAAGTTTTATTATCTCTTACGATGTGCTTCGGAGAGATTTGTCGACTGAAAATGCTTGTGTTGATGTAGCTGGCAAAGACGAACTGAAATGACTGGCAAGACATTTATAAAATGAAAGAAAGAATATGAAAATGGCACAAACGTCAAACATGTATTGTAATTTAAAGGCAATTTTGTTTAGTTGATTATGATAAATATTGAAGTTATGCCATTTTGTATTACATATAATTTTTGAGACTTGATTTAAAATGTATATTTAAAAAGACTAATGGAAATTACATATGGACTGTGTTTAACGTAACACATGTGAATGTGATAAATATTGAAAATAATAAAATTAGAAATATTGATCAAATAATGTTGAGTATTTTGTAAAAAATCATGTTTTAATATCACTATACAATTTTGTAGATAATATGTATATATTAGTTGATATGCCTAACGTAAAGAGTGTGTGTTGATATAATATATTGTATCTGTGTTTATATAGCAATAAATCCCATGAAAATGCCATTTCATTGTTTCATATTTTTACTCGAATACTTTTTTTGCATCCTTTTATTCAATTACTGCAAAATTTACAAACCCAGGTCATTTTGTGCTGAATAACTAGTCCGGTTTTTTCTATATAGTATCTTGTATTACCTAACTATATAACGGATAAAACTGAAAGAACTTACTGTTGACTATCAGTAACAAATCTCCCTTATGTCGTTTGTAAGATGTAAAGATTTTAAGAAGGTAATTAGACCTAAGCTCGAAATATCAAGGAAAATTTTGCAATCATTTAACTAATGAACTCGACAATTTTAAAGCAAGTTTTCTTTTGTACTTGAAAATCCTGTTTGTTATATTTTGACCTTACAGTTTGTTACCTTACAATGTATTTATGGACTATTTATATTAAACCTTTTTATTACAATTTTAATATATATATTATATAACATCCTCGTTATTGCATCTAATTACGTTTGTTATCTGTCATGGTTTTATCTGTATATATGTACTTCAATAAAATACTGGAATACTTATTTGCATTTTGTTACTCGTCGTTTTCATTGATAACACCAGATAAGCGAACTGTCTAGAAGGAACGTAAGTACATTTTCACTTCCGTTTCCCATGTTTTAAACGAGATTTGAAAGTAAAAATCTCAGATCGGTCGCTACTTGATTGCGAATATTTGTAATGCTAATAAGACATTCAGTTGCCAAGTCTATAATGATTGCAACATAGATACTACCATTACACAGTCAAGTTCAATAATAATAACGTATAAAGTAACTATGTATAACCTGTCTTGTGTAGTTATGCTGCTGACTATGTCACTTGAAGCCTTCATTCTGCGGGCTCATAAACTATGATATGAAAATGTACTTGGCAACTCATCAATGAAACATTTTTAATATTCAGTACAGAGATGAAAAAGTATAAATTTATAAATCAAGTTTAAAGAGGTTTATAATCAATTATTATAATCTATGCTAATACTGTAAAGAGGAAAGATTTCATTGTTTGTTTATATTGAACAGGATTTGAACCTACTGGACTTCTTTTTTTTTTAATTCTTTCGTCTTCGGGATGCTGTTTCATATGTGGGTGACATTGGCAAATTTACGCGGGCGAAGTCGAGTGGAATATAAAATAAAGTCTTTAGTTTTTACATTCAAAATGCTATATTGATATTCAAATTAAATAGAAAAATAATTTAGATTCAATTGCCTCAGCGACCAAACGATGTGACTCTTCAACGATTAAAAGATTTTATCGCTTGTATTTTTGATAATTCATTACATTTTCAGATAGTTCGAACATTCATAAAACTTTTCTAAAGCTGATATCTAATGTAATGTAACCTAGACAAAAATCTTAAAAAAAAAGAAAAGAAATCTTATTATTTTATACTCAATACACACATGTACAAAGGTGGAGTTAATGCGTTGAGCATTCTCTGCCAGTGAAACTTTAGGTGATGTGGAGATAAAATATGTTGAACGTAGGTGCATACCTAAACTACAAAATTATTCAAGATAAAGATATTAATAGTATCAGCATTATTGAGAAATCTAGTAAATATATACATAACTATAATATCTTGTACATGCTGTATTTACAACGCAATACTTCAAGTCTGCGCGGTGTGGGATCAGTCTACTTTATGTCATGACAGAACAAGCGCTGTTCAAGAGAGCATAAATTCTAACAAACGTTCCTGGTTAGTACACGGTGGTAACCGCAGTCTACCAACTCTGTACATCGATCTGCACCTTTCACCATCAATAAAAGACCACTTTTCTATCAACAACCACCTGAATCTTGTATCGGAGTACAAACTCTCGCGTCGTGTAGCAAAAATTACCCTTAATTATTATTTTTATAGCAAACAAATTGATGTTTCACGCATGCCGGTTAAACATGCCTCCATTCTGATACAAATATAGCTTTATCATCTATGAAGCCACTTATTTGTATAATTTAACAGTTAATTTCAATAATTATTCCAAATTACTTCCAATTAAGTGTAACTGGTGCAAAATTTTATTAGTAGCTTTATTTATATAATGGATATCAGATATGATATTAATAATTTATTCACGTTAACTTCAGTTTATATGTTGTTAATATCAGAAACGTCTAAGTGACAATCACAAGTAAAATATTGCTTGTTATTTAAAATCAATTAACTGGAAACATTGCAAAATGTCCGAGAGTACGCCGACGAGAATATAGAGATTGATTTATTACGACTTATAAATCATAGGTAATCTACAAAACAATTAGCGGTGCAAAGAATATTGGTCTCACAACGTTGACACTAAATAAAACTGATAGGCATTTACCGAAGTCAAAGCTCATTCAAAGATATTTAGCCAATTTAATTTTCCTCCAACATATACACATGTAATCTCTTAGGAGACAGTATTTTTATCAGAATCGTTGCATAATAAAAAGCAACTCCTTTTTTATCGTAACACATTTTTATTATACTATGAGTATTATTATTACCCAGAACATACGTTAAGTCGTTGGTCCTGGCTGCATCGGCAATCGTTAGCTCTGATTAGACTGTGGTTTTTGCTAGAAAAATATATAATGATAATTTTATGAAGTAAAAAGTCTCTAAAATTGTTGCACAATGTAAAGTTAGCAATGATATTAATATTTCTCAGTAGGTATATAATTATCTCGCCGTATTCTTAAAAACTTTAAAAATAAGACTTTCATAAATCTCCAATATTAATATCATAGAATAAAGTGCTGCAAATTGCGAAATTCATAAACGATTTATTATGATTAAATATAAATCTTGCAGTCAATTATCGAGTTGATCCTAAGCTTCTCTTTAATAAAGAACCACCCACGGGATCTCAAGAAGGAGGGTTTTAAATTACTCTGCATTCATCTGATGGCCCCCGCATCAATGCTAGGTGATAAATGCATCCCTTTCATAGACTGTCATGAATGCCTGTCAAAGAGACGACTAGTAATTACAAATGTATCTAGTTGGAGCTCAAACGTATGATACGTAGGATGGCGACCGTTAAGATGATACTGTTTGAAGATTTCAAGTTAGACAACAGAGTATTTATAATGATCACCGTTCGTAAAATGTACATGCATTAATGTCTAAGCGTAGGTTTTATAGCTAGTGTAGTGATCTCAATGTTAATAGAGTTAATAGCTAATAAAAACAGAGGTAGTCACAAAAGTTCCATCGATTTAGCTGATTGTTTAATTTATACTTTAATAATTGCGAGAAGTACTATAACTTAGTATTTACAAATAAATATTAGTGATAACTTTTATTTATTTTTATATAAAAAATGTAACCAGACGTCGTTGTCTTGCATAAACTTCAATAACTGGAAACTCTAAGCTGTTATATTCCAAGTTTCTGGACACTAGCAATTGTATTTCTTCAAAAATGGTATAAGCTATAAAAAAAAAATAACCAGCTTCAAATGACTCCGCATTTTAAAAATGATGCCATGGTTAAGACCGAAAGGATTTTTTTTTTCTTTTGTATCAGGTGAGAATGTTGTAGTGCCTTCCTTGTTTCAGATTTCCATACGTTATCTGTTATTTTTAAAGATGAGTATTGATTTTTTTACAGTAAAATAATATTAATTTACAAAGACCAGGGTACAATAGAGGTGTAAAAAACTTTTTTCATATTTTTGTTTTATAGATATACATGAAATATATCTAAATAAATATAAAAAAGAAATAATTTATATAATAAGTTTTTAACCTAAAAATAAATTTGATTTTGAAATTTTTTTGCGAAAACGCATCTTCTGTCATGGCGTCGCTATGAGACCACGCGATGTTTGCGGTCATGTAACAACGAGCGTAAATTTTTTTTCAGTATTATAAATAAAATAAGCATAAAAGTGAGATTATACCTACTATTACCGAAAAATTAAACACTACCGGAAAAAATAATATGTATTTGTTTTCGTTTACTGCCTACACCCGTATTATGATTTAGCTTCGAAATGATTATTACAGTAATAAATCTTAAACTGAAACCAATATATCGTGTCTAGGTCTTTGACATTTACACGGCACACTTTGATTGGCATCGTCATAGCTACTAGTGACCTTTGTTTTTATAATCACATTAAGAGAACAATAAGTTTTAGGTTATTGGCCTGGAATGTGTTACGAGTTTCATTAAAACTATCTTCTCTGCAACTTCTAGGTCATCAGCTTATTTAATATTAAAAACACTTTTCGCATCCTTGTCGTTTTGTCTTTTGCTTATTTATTGAGTCCCTTGAAGGGATTTCGGCATTACTGTAGGTTTACATTTTTTACACTTTCAGCCAGTGTCGTATATATGATAAACATACAGAAATAAAAAGAATTCGAAGAAATAACGCTATAACTAGTATAAAAATACAATGAACAAACTCTTCAAATATATATTAAACAAAGGAATACTAATATAATGCCTGGATAGTAGAGATATTAGCAATAGTATTACTAATCAATGATAACAGCACTAGAGAAACTTGATGGAAGAATCAACCTTACTAAAGATAAACAGCGGCAGATGTGACAATCTGCATATCGCACAGAATAATCTATTTGTTGCCTCAATTAGAGCCACCACACATTGCAATTATTTTAAAGACAAATGTATTCCTATATACTCGTAATTCGCTTTGATAACAACCTAAAACTTCGGATGATCAATAGTTCAAATTCCATTTGGGTAATTTGTTACAAAAACTACTGTATTGTACAAACTCTATGATGGTTGGATTGAAATCAGCTTTCTGTCAGAGGCTTCCTTAGTTCTTCTTTACTCTAACTAAAGAAAGATTTTCTTACGGGGTAGGTAGAAACAGAAAGTGAAGATATATAGTAGTATCTATGTAAATTATATACTGATAATTGGAGAAAGATTTAATTTTATTTCACAAATATACGTCGTCTTCTGATTATTCCTTTAAATATGTATGACAAAATGTAATAAAAGCTAAGGACTTCTCAGGATACTAACTTAACCATAAAATAAAATTTCAGTAGATGTTTCATGATTTACTTTTGTCTCAAGAAATAACT